TTTGGCCAAGCTAGCCGAGACCCTAGCTAGCTCTGCGAGAAGCACTTCTGTTTTTAACTGAAGAAAGGAAGCTAGGCGCTGGGAAGTGATCTACGGGTGGAGAGTCGTGACCTACAAGTGGTCCTATAAAGTCAACAGTTAACTCCGTATCAGGCCGAATCCAAAGTCCATGGACTATTCGTCTCTCAATTAATGAATGTAGGTGCGTCTTGGCCCATCTCGAAGGAGTTGTTGTGGAATTTTGTGCCGATTGGATTGGCAAAGCTCATAGAATAGGACCCTCCCTGTTAATTGGCTCTCTAAACCGCTTTGGCTGCCTGACCAAAAAAAAAAACCCCTTTTGCTACGTTAGCTAGTCCGGATTTGAGACCGGATAAACCCAATACATCTAGATAAAAAGTCCGGCCTACGGGGTGGAAAAAACCTGGATTTGATGTAAAATTTAAAAAATAACTTAACAATTCATATTATCTTTTAATGGAGAGATGGAGTGACGCATCGGATTTTGCTTCGCCCGCATTGCCCGAGTACACTTGTTAAAAAAATAAAAATAAAAAATTTGTAAGCAAATAAATAAAAAAAAATATATAAAAAAATAGCACAATAATAAAGAGCATGAGCATATAAATAAATGGGGCCACGGATTTGATAAAAAAAATAGAAATTTTCGAAAAAAAAATAGTAATAAAAAATAGCACCGTCCGCTTGGTCGTGTTATGGTTTTCTTTTTTTTATTTATTTATTTAACTTCGACACAACACAACGTGGGTGTCAATGTCGCAAATTATTGGGGTTTGTTTTTTTTGGTCGAAAATTATGGGGTTCGATAGAGGTAGACTCATCTTTCCATGACCGTCCATTCCAATATGGATATGACGACTTGCAAGGCGAGGACTACGTGAATCTTTGCTTTTTCCTTTGTTTGCTTACTTTAGCGTACTGATTCCGTTTTCCGGCCGAATAATTGGGTTGGAGAATACTTGCCAACTTTGATAAATATACTTGAAAAGGAGTCAAAGAGAAAACACAAGGATCTTCGAATGTGATACGATTTATAGAAGATGTATTTACTACAACCGAATCATTCAATTTGCAGAACTAGCAATAAAAATCAAATGTTTATGAAAAAAAAGAACATATATACTTCTGTATTTCATGTAAAATTTACCGCGACAAGCGGGGCCAACGAGGGCACACCGTCCCTCCAATCACTAGGTGCTCGATGTAATTTATATGTCTTTTTTTTGTATAAAATGCATACATTGAGGAAACCTGCCTTTTTTTTTTTTTGGTAAACAATGTTTCACGAGTAAGAAAAAAGTTGCATAAAATTAGTCTATCACAGATATGAGTTGAGATAAATTGCGTCTGAGTAAATATATGCCCATGCCAATCGCATTGCGTGGTAAAAAACAACAACAACAACATATTTGTAGCAATTACATACCTTTTCCTTCTTGAAATAATAATTCCATGGACTGGTATATTATCATTGTCAGTCTCCCAAATATAAATTGTAATTCGTCAACTTCTTATACTTGAGAAACTCATCTCACTTTTACTTCCAAATCTCGTCGGTTTCTCTCTCCAAGCTACGTGCATGCAAACAAAAACTTCCTTACTCTCTATCAACCAAATATAGGGCTATCGACTTTGGAAGTTTTGGAATCTCATCTTTAGAAGATATAAAGTTTTCTATTTTATGTTTTTTTTTTGCAAGTAAATCTTTTAAAATGTACTCTTGCGTATATAAATACCCACCTAAGCCTAATGGAAATATACACCAATTTCTGACTCTACACTCCATGTCCCTTTCCCATTTGCTTGTCAATGACCGGAACTTCCAGGAACTTGTGTGTCCGGCTCGATCATTCAAACGCAGTGGATATCGAACTAAAGTTGAAGATCATTTTCAAGAAACCATGCCTTCCCTTAGAAGCCAAATAAACCCTAAATGCATTGCGAAGATGAGACTCTTGACATGTTTTTACTCGGAACATTATAATATGGCGCAAAACGATTCTATTCTACTTCTATGCTTAACTAGATTCCCGTTGGGAGATTTTATATGCAGCTTAAATTCGAGCGATGCTTCGTCGTGGGAGCAAGTTTGTAATGCTTAAAACTGAGCAAAAAAGAAAAGAAGAAAAGAAGCTACTGAACAGGCTTATAGACCTATATATTTAACCAATGAAGTGTGGATCTACACATAGCTCAGCAGAAATGCCTGAAATTTATTATTGTTTCAGGATGAACTTATATTAAACAATGAAGTCTAATTGTGCGTATCAAACGATCAAACCCATTCTGCTTCTTGCCCGAAAGATTATTAGTTCCTTTCTTTTCTTGTCGTGGAACGACAGATACATATTATTTCCCCTTTTTAAAACCTATTTCGGTTTTCTCCTACTTTTTCTCCTACTTGGCCTTGCCTTTCTCTGTTCCTCATCAATGGCCGCGCCATTTCTCTGCTCCAAGATTCAAACTTGGCAGCACTAGACTAAACGGGAAAATTACCAAAAAAGCCCTAAACCGTTTGTAATTGTGCCAATTCAGTCCTAAACTTTTTTTTTTGGCCAATTCAATCCTAAACCTTTTGTAATTGTGTCAATTCAGTCCATCCGGCCACTTTTGGCCGGCCGGCGTCCACGTGGTAATATTTTAATATTTTTTTATTTTTTTCGAATATTTTTTCTTTTCCTTCTCCCCCTGGCCAGGGGGGAAGCTCGCCGGCGAGGGCCCAGCTCCGGCGAGGCGAGCCGGGCCCTCGCTGCCGCTGGGCGAGCTCCACCTCGTCCGGCTACGGCGGCGGAGCTCGCCTTGGCCGTGCGAGCTCCGCCCTCGCCCGGATCCGGCGAGGCGGAGCTCGCCATGGCGAGGCGAGCTCCGCCTCGCCGGATGGCGAGGCGGGCTCGCCCGGCCATGGCGGCCGGGCCCTCGCCTAGCTCCAGCGAGGCAGAGCTCGCCCAGCCATGGCGAGCTCCGCCCTCACCCAGCTCCGACAAGGCGGAGCTCGCCCAACCATGGCAAGCTAGGCCCTCGCCCGCATCCGGGGCGAGGGCGGAGCTCGCTTTCACCAAGGCTCCGCCGCCGGATCCGGGCGGTAGCGGAGCTCGCCATGGCCGGGCGAGCTCCGCCGCCTCGCATCCTCGGCGAAGCGGAGCTCGCCAGTCAAGGTGAGCTCCGCCTCGCCGGATCTGGGCGAGGCTCGCCTAGCGGCGGCGAGGGCGTAGTTCGCCCAGCTCCGGCGAGGCGAAGCTCGCCCAGCCATGGCGAGCTGGGCCCTCGCCCAGATCTGGCGAGGGCGGAGCTCGCCCAGCCAAGGCTCCGCCTCGCCAGATCTGGCCGCCTCGCTGGATTTGGGCGAGGGCGGAGCTCGCCCAGCCAAGGCGAGCTCCATCTCGCCGGATTTGGGCGAGGGCGGAGCTCGCCCAGCCATGGCGAGCTCCGCCTCGCCGGAGTTGGGCGAGGCGGAGCTCGCCTCGCTGGAGCTGGGCCCTCGCCGATGAGCCTCCCCCTGGCCAAACAGGCCAAGGGGGAGAAGGAAAAAAATATATTAAAATATTGCCACGTGGACGCCGAGTGGCGCCACGTCAGCCGGCCGGCGGTCACGTCAGCGCCGGCGGCCCAAAATTGGCCGGATGGACTGAATTGGCACAATTGCAAAAGGTTTAGTACTGAATTGGCAAAAAAAAAAGGTTTAGGACTGAATTGGCACAATTGCAAAAGGTTTAGGACTTTTTTGGTAATTTTCCCGGACTAAACATCGCGGTCATTCTCAAGAGCACATCTCATTTATTTATACACACGAGACATCCCAGCTCGTTTACACTGCTCAAAACAACAAAACAAGAGCATGTTCTGCACAAGGATCGAGTGGGCTCTAAAACTGAAGGGCCTCGAGGACGAGATGATTGTTGAAGAATGGAGCAAGAGGAAGAGCGAATTGCTTTTGAAGTCGAACCCAGTGCACAAGAAGGTCCCGGTGCTTTTGGACGATGAGGTCGCGTTGCAGGGTCGAAAGTGATCCTGGAGTACATCATTGATGAGAAGTGGAAGGGAGGTGATCTTTTTCCGTTGTTGCCGCAAGACCCCTTCAAGTTCGTTTCTGGGCTCAGTCTGCTTATGGAAAAGATGACCCTTTTGACCTTTTTCCCCAAGTTATTGTTTTATCAGTCTGCCTGTGCTGTTTTGTTCCCGTCATGATGAGTATGAGTTATGATGGAGCAATTATTTAACTAGATGCTTTTAGGGGAAAATTGGAGTATATCGTGCAATCTGATGTATTGTAGATGTACAGACACTTTTCTGTTGAATGATGCTCCCTTTTTCTCCCCCAAAGTTGATCTTTAGGAAGTTGAATTTGAATTGCCGTGCCAATGATTCGAGTCTAGTTCAAGCTTGTCGCTCAATTGGCTCGAGTTTCTATTAGATACATCAATTGAATGTTCACAAGAGTTTTTCCTCTTTCTCATTCTGTGGATACATTTCTTGCGTTATCATGCTCGCTCGATGCATATGTGAGAGAGAGACAGAGAGACAGAGAGTTTTACTCACCCGAGAATACGGAGGAGAACCGTATTGATGTAAACGCGTGACGAGGGAGTGGCATTTCGCTTGATACGTGTTGTGTACCCATACAATACGTATCAAGCGAAATGCCAGCTCCTGAATGGCAGGATCAATTAATGCCATGGAATATGGATGAAGCTCTTTGGAATTGGGATTTTCTTCTTCAAATATGCTAGACAACGGAATATGCATTCCTGATGAGTTTTTCTCCATCAAAGGGTTTTATGATGAAACCATATCTGCAACTGAGAAAATTCCATGGAAAACAACGGACCCTTTGTGACATCCTGATTTTTGGTGTTTTTCCATATTGGCGCAAAAAAAAATTCAAAAAAAAAATATAATCAGAATATTTTTGAATATTCTGTCCGAAATTCCTTTATATCAAGTCTTTTCCTTTTGTCTCTTCATCCTCTTCTTCTCTTCTTCTTCTTCTTTCTTCTTCATTTTGGATGGATCGTGGCCGCGCAAGAGGAAAATCGGCTCGACTTCCTACGATTCTTCGATAAGATCATCCCCGAGGCAAGTAGATTCTAATTCCTCGACTTCGCATTCGTCTTTTCACCCGAGATAAATGGTTTTTGGCCTTTTATGAAAGGTTTTGGGTCTCGAGTTGAAAAGTTCGGAAAGTCTTTGACTTTTTGGTTTCCTGAGGACGTACGGGTGTCGGGATATCGTGTGATGGTGACGGATCATTGAAAACGAGCTTGGATGGCTCGAACGAGACGTGTTAAGGTTATGTGTAAGTTGGATGATGAAATTTTTACTATGTTCGTTTGATTTTCTAGTCGTTTTTGGTGTTGTTCAAGTGTCGGGATGACACATGGTGAGTTTGAATGGTTTTAAGGAGTCGATAAGGGCAGTCGTGGTTTGCGTTGAGCCGAACCACTTAACGGCGCGTGGTGGCCACGGAATAGAAAGTAGCACGGGGGTGGCTCACGGTGCGGGATGGAGGTGTGAGGAACGCCTATGTCGTAGGCCGACGTTGGTGGTGACTGAGCCCATGGATGGCGACGACGTGGTCTCGCGTCAGCTAATCGTGTGATGAAGGATAGTTTATATGAGATGGTGATTTTGTGCACGATGTTGTTATATTGCCTGCGCTTTGGATAGTATCGTTGGTGTCTCGTTGGTTTAATATGCCCCATATATGGATTGTTATTCACATGCTTCTGTTAGAATCATTTGCACTCATCATATCATAATTGTGTGATAATGGATAGTGAGGGTCGTCAGACGGGGGATTCCTGACGATGCCTTATGTGCATTGCTTCATGTGCATCATGTGAAAATGAATGGTGAGGACCATCGGTCTACGCGCCGATGATGCCCCACGGGAGTATCGGGATGCCCAAGTACGAAAGGCTTGGATGCCGTCGGTCTGCGCGCTGACGATGTCTCGGAGTGAGATGCCTGTGATTGGTATACCATGGAAGTCCGGTTTGCGCGCTGGAAGTTACCCGCACAGGTCGGTCTGCACGCCGATGTAACCGTGGTACGGGGGTGGATATTTGATGAGAGAACTGGAATAATAACTGGCATATAACATGCACTGCACCCATTTTATTGCATTTGCATCATTCCTCTCATAAATGATGTTTACATCTTGTGGTGATTTGATGATTCGTGTTGTCGATGTTTTAGATATCTTTTTGCTAAGCTTTATGCTTGCTCCCGTGGTTATTTATCTTTTCAGATTAGTAGATATGCCATCCGTTCCTCCCGCTATCTATAGCGCTCGTTATGGAGCCCCTGTTGATTTTACGTTCCATTGGGAGGACGTGACCTTTCCTGAGTTTCCGAATGTTGTTTTTGTGAGGTTTGTGTCCACGCTGTGGGTTTGATGTAGGCTTTGCGCCAAGGTTAGATTCATACCGTTTCGTTGCGTTGTATATCCGCTGCCAGGGACAGCTTTGGGGGCCGCTTCCATTTCTGGATATTGACTCAAACTCAGGGTCGGACAGCGATCCTAATATGGAGGAGTAGTTGGGTGACCAGATGGACGACTTTTTGAGGTAGCACGACCTAAATGACGGACCTTTTTGGATAGGGTCGTATAGTTGTTGTAGCAGGGTAACATTTAGGGGTGGTTGTGTAGGTGGAGTAGTATACCTAATCTTCCAGGGGCGACTTATCTTTTGATTTGTATATTTGTACAGTTAGTTCGCCTGTACCCTGACTCTAACTTTGTGTATATATATATAAAGGTATTTACCAGCGTGCGTTTGTGTATGTTTCTCAATAAAAGATACTTTACATACTTGTTTCAAAAATATTAATAGCTTCCGCATGCTTATATGGATTATTAGACCCTTTGTCGTTAGTGGTGACGGCCTGGGACGTCACACCCCTAAATTCAATAGATGTGGAAATTCAACCATAGAGCCGGCTATGCCGAGGGTATGCCTATCCATGTGCCAAAAGAGTTAAATGTTATTAAATCAACTTAAGTTCAGATTTTCTTCTGGCACCCAAATATAGAATTCACCTCCTTCCGAAATAGTGGTCTTTATATTATGCAAGTTTCTGGCTACAGCAGAACTAATTTCTCGTCAAGTCAAATAATTCGTCTTGATGACGAACTTGCTTTTTTCTTCTTCTTTCCCGTGTCAATGACAACAGTGTGTCTTAGGCGCTTGGGGAGCCGGTCGTGCCGAATATGGGCTAGGAAAGGAGAAAGCAGTGGAGGCTGCGTTAGAGTGTTCCGCGTATCTCGAGAAGCAGATCGAGGGGAAGAAGTCTTCGCGGGAGAGAAGATAGGCTATTTGGATCCCGCATTGGCTCGGCGTCATGGAAGAAGCTGGAGGCATGAATATACTTGATGCTGAGAAGTTCCCATCCCTTCATGAATGGGCACAAAACTTCATTGAAATTCTGCCGATTACTGAATGTGTTCCACCTAGAGATATGCTGGTTAACTGTGCCACTGCTCTCCTGAGCTACCTGCGTTCCTCAGCACCACACAAGCCATAAAGGAAGTGTTGCTCGTGCTCGTCTCCCCTCTTTTCCTCTCTTATACTTGTAACCTTCTGATGTGGCGCAAGAATATACTTATTCTGTTCTGACCTTAATCAGTGCCGAGTCCTCTAAATAACCAAAACCAACATCTTCACTGCCTCCCCCTGCTTCTGCCAGTCTAACGTTGAAGCCATGGCTTTGATTTGGTTTAGTAAGATTGCTAAGTTCTTTTGCGCAGATGTATCACTATCGAGAGGGCAGGTGTGACATGAAGGTTGAATTAGTTCTCAGATGAAAAAAGATTGAATTAGTTATCGTGTGGTGTCATTGAATTCGCTATGACTTGTAGGTTCTCGATGTGATGAAATAGAATATGTAGCTCCAAAGCTCAAAACCAGATGCTTGTTAAACTTGCAGCATACAAAGCACTTGAATTGAGGGTTTTGATCATGTCAAAGTGCAATTGGGAGATACTGAGATATGGGATTGGATAATTGTTGCAGATAACTATTTGCTGCTCTAATCACCAGTAACTTCATGCACTTGTCTTCTTATGTTTGATTCTCCTTGTCAAGCCGACGGGCCTTCCTTTCTTTTCAATCCCTCAAGATTAATATCCACGAAAATCGCAGCATGCCCTTGGAATTTTGGTCTTGGAGTTTACGTCGATGGTTCTGGCCTTGCCTCGTAAACTTTCAACATACAGTGACAAGAATAGCAGTTGTGGATGGTAAAAGTATGTCGTGGATAGTATGCATATGTCCGGGCCAGAATTTACAACAAATTTCAGCATAGTCGAAGCTGGCTACAGCATTCTGTCTGAAATTCGACCGGTCGACATTGAAAACCTCCAAAAGCAAGAAAAAAAGAAACATCTAGTTACAAAAAAGTGTGCAAAAACTACTTTTCCATGTGTTCACAAGGACACTAGTGCGCGGAGATCATCCAACCCAATCTCCCTCCCATCAGTCGAAGCCACTTCCTGAAAGCTTTCCTCGCCAGTGTCTTCTTCCTCTCCTGCAACTTCAATATCCTCTCTTCGATACTGTTGCTTGCTATCAATCTCACAATCTTCACATCCTCCTTCTGCCTGATCCTGTGCACTCGATCCACGGCCTGCTCCTCGACCACAGGGTTCCACCACGGTTCCAACAGATAAACAGTTGACGCAGCAGACAGATTTATAGCAGCACCGGCAGCCTTTAGGCTGGCGAGCAACGTGGTGGGTGGACCTTGCTCCGGCGCTCCGAACTCTTCGATGACTTCTTGCCTTCTGTTTGCGCTCATCGAACCGTCTAGGCGCAAGATATGAAAACCGGCTTCTCTAAGGGGCCCATCCAGAAGTAATAGCATTTTTCTGAATTCAGAATATACAACCGATTTGGCGCTCCAATTGCGATCATTCGCTGCAAGGAGAAGATTTAAAAGAGTGGAAATTTTGGCAGAAGGAAGATTCTCCACTTTGCTGCTTTCAGATGATTCCGGTGGAGCAGAGAACAGATCGGACTCAGCCAAAGGACTGCGACAAAGGGGGCACTGCCTATTTGAGTTCTGCAGAGTCCTACTAATGCAGGCTTGGCAATATATGTGAGCACAGCGAGTGATTATTAGATTTGTACATGGAGAAATGCATATTGGGCAATCAATATCTTCACCATCTTGTAGCACTGCAACCAACTTCTTCAGCAACTCTGGATTGTTAGAAACATCTGCCACATTGCAAATACTCAGCACATTGCATATCTAAGGAGAAACACAAACGACCTCCACAACCATAGTTGGTCTTCCAAGGGCAAACGATTGACATGCATCTTAAAGTATGACAGCATCTATGGCCCAGTAACTAAAAGTTAGAAAATTCACTTGCATAGTTAACCAAAAGTACAAATTCAAGGATATCACTAATTAAACAAAGTTTAAGTTCTGCGAAGTCTTAGTGTTCATCAAAACACTAAGACTTCAGATCCTAGTCATGACTCCCAATGCAAATTTAGATAGAAAGGCACATTTGCAGATAAAATGTGCCGTACTAGGATTCCAATTGTTATCACAGACCCAACATAAGAGGAGAAATAGTTTTATCCTGCAACGCTTCCATACGTTGACTGGAATGTGCCAAATATCCAATTAATACTGTCGAAGTAATCTGACTTTGTATTTGAGTTGCAGGCATGTGTCACGGCCCGAAGAATTGGATCGTTCCTGAGGTTTTCTGGACGATGGACCGTGATCGACCCTTGGACGAGAAGGCGGGCCCCGAGTGTTCTAGTACTAGGGTTTTCTTGATGTCTTCTAGAATACTCCTGGGGGCGGGCGATACGGTAATTGTACCCTTCCATAATAAATGCGGTAGGTGGGGTAGTTGGGGGAGTACGATCTCAACCGTTGAGATCGGGGAGAGATCTACGGATACGGTCAGCCCGATACTTGTATATAATGGGGTCTCCTCCCCTCATTTTATCATCTCTCATTTTCCAAGAAGCAATACAAAGTTCAGAGCTTCTCTCTCTAGAGTTTCTCTCTCTAAAGTTCTTGCGAGTGTGAGCGTGGGAAGGCTTACTTGGGGAGAAATTCCTAAGGCCGCACAGGTGTGGAAACGCTAGATCGATCGACCCGTGACACATGCATGTACCCGACTAGAGTTTTAGTCCAGGCTGGCTCCTTTACAACCAAGCTATACACAGGTCAGAAGATAACTCAAACCTAAAGCATGTCCAACTCCCACCCTTGCCATCTCGGAGTCTAAGTCAAAATTTGATACTGACCTAGCCATTGCCCTAACTAAGGTCCCAGATGGGCAGAACTTGTGTAAATCATGAGAACATCGGATTACATGTGCTGATTCCTGAACAGATACGTGAACTAGAGGAAGCATTAGGAGACATCAATTTTTTCTTTATTTTCCCAATTATGGATAAGTGGGAAACTTGAGGAAATTCTAGAAGCAGAAATGCTGAAATCTAGTTCTGCATTATATATGTTTATGAAAGTAGAACCACAAAAAACCACTGTGACAACAATTACACAAACATCAGTTCAATCACACAAACTACCTCGACATATCTCAGCAAACTGGTCTTACTACATAGTAAAATAATGTCCCAAGTCAAATATCAAAAAACATATATTCATCGATACCTTCAATCTTGTTAGATGGGAGAAGTGAGGTCACTTCTGGGGGGCACAAGGCCATGCTACTGCATATCTGTCTGAGTCTTAGAATTATACCAAGCACAGCAGTGTAATTACGCATCACACTACCAGCATCGAAATATTCCTCCACAGCACTCTTGACTTCTTGTTCCATGCGGTCATACAATCACGTTCTTTGGAAGAAAGTTCGACATAACAAGTCTCTATTGTCTTTTGGGGCAATCCGATCAAAACCTCGTCCTTTGTCCTCCGTAGAGAAAAGGTGGCCATGAGAACCTGAAATGGCGCAAAGGACATTGTAGTACCACATAAAGTGCATGTCTCACACAAGAACAAAAGTTGACAGTCCCGCCTAATAGGCATAAATTGTTACATAAAGATCAACACCGAAAAATTACCTGCAGACGGGAAAGCCCTGTCTGATTCTGTTGGCTGAGTGGACGCTGGCTCTTTATGGAAAAAGGCTCAAACCGCAAAAATGCCATCAAAGAGAACAGGTCAAACGAACCATCCTGAAGAGGCGTTCGAGTTACCGCCCACCTCCTCCTAGCCTTCAAGTTAGTGACCGCTCGGCTCTGCTGGGCATTCACAGTCTTGACCACGTGGCCCTCATCCAAAATGACTCTCCACCACTCTATCTTTTTCACAGGAGATTCTTCCAGAGGTTCCTCATTAGCCAGTATGGCATATGTCGTCAGCACAATGTCATGTTCTCTAAGCTCCTCGGCATCCTTGGTCCTGCGTCCATGATATCTATACAATTTCATGTTCCTAGTATGCTGGCTTACTTGCGTGGTCCAAGTGGATAACGCAGATGGAGGGCACACGACCAGTGTCGATTTGGTGCCATCCCACGTCTCATCATCTAGGGTCACGCTGCTCGAACTACTGTGTCCAGTTTTACTCTTCTTTGGAGACTGAGAAATGCCCATCTTCCCCTTTCTCTTAGCGGAATCAGATTGAACTGATTGCATCGAACCATCAAATTTATCCAAGGCAATCAAAGAAAGAAGGGTGAGAGTCTTACCCAACCCCGATTGATCCACGAAGATACCGTCCCACAGAGGCTCCGGCCGCTCAACCGGGCAATGGTTGGTCAACACGTTCACATACACGTGATGCCTATCCTCCCAAAAGGGAGGCAATTCCCCAGTATTTTCCATATGAACCAACCAACCCAAGCCCTATTTTTGGTGCTCCAAGAGATGGGTCATTATGATCTCCGTCGGAGGCTCCAAGGCCTCCGGCTTCGCTTCTTCCTAACATTACGGCCGACCAGCGTGAAACTCTTGTCCACGCTCCTCACCTCTTTCCCCGCGGGCGGGATGCGCATCAAGTTGCCTCTCAAGATTGCCGACTTAACGTGCTCAAAGTCGTTGACTCTAGCAACTACGTGAATTCGAGACTCGACGAAAACCAATTTTCGCACGTGAGAAACTCGGGGCACAATGGCCTCGACGGAGATGAGCTGAGAGTCGATAAGTGGGGCCAAGACTAGGGCAGCTGTGGCCTTGATGTAACCAACCCTCACGCCCCTAGTATTGAGGACTAGGATGGCATTCGTGTCCTTTATATTTGAGGGCTCGCGCACAAGTGCAAATCTCTCGCGGGCGCTGATGTCGTTGTCTCCGTAGTGCTGGATGCTGACTATGTCGGCAAGGATGAAGCCGAGGAGGCTAGTCCCGGATGGGGAAGCGACGGTATCGTCGAGGTCCCCCATCGTAGATGGAGACGGAGAAGGTCTGTAGGGTTCAGAGAGAATGTGGGTTGACGAGAGTTTCTCTACTTTGAAATCGGGGGTTCACAGAGAGAGAGGGGCGGAGAAGGTGACAGAGCGTCTCTATCTTGAACTTGAACTCGAAAGAACTTGAAATTAATCGGTTAACCGTTGCAGAGTTTGAACTTAGAAATTAATCGATTAACTGTTGCAGAGAATGAACGGCGGTGTCGTTTCTAACCGTTCGGGGTTGTTACGCCAAAGGAAAAATAGGTTAATACACATCTCTAGTTTTTTAAATAATATTCACATGGCTCTACGTAAAAGCCCATATCCAAATGACTAAATTGTCCTTCCAAATTCGTTTGAATATTTTGCTTAGGGTTTGGGTCAAAGGGAAAATTCTAAATAAAGGTATGAAGTGCCCTCGTTTTCTCATATAAGAGCCCGACCTTACTGGCCGAAGGGCACTTTCGTCCCGTACTTTTTTTGAATTTTCTTTTCCTTTTTCTATTTTTTTCTTTTCCCTCCGTCGGCGTCGAGCCAGGCCCACCCTCGCCCTCTCCTAGGGTCGGTGGAACTCACCGGCAATGGCGGGGGAGGGAAGAGGGAAAAGAAAAGACAAAAAAAAAAGGAAAGTAAAAAATATATATACTTAAAAAAAATTGCTAAAATACCCCTTCTTCAAAGGCCGGAATAGTCATTGCCCGACCAAAAGTCCTTATTTGAGACAATTTGACCGGTTCAAGCTCTTATTTGAGAAAAATGATGGCACTTCATGTCCTTATTTGAAAATTTTCCCTTTGGGTAATGTGGTATTTAATTTAATTTTTTTGGGGTCTGAATGTGGTTTTTAATTGATTTTGAGTGTTTTGGGTGGACAAGAGAATTTAGAATTTGGGGGATGAGCGTTTTTCGAAGACAGGAATTGAGATGCAAAGACAATCGATGTGAATATGTAAAGTGGTCTACTCCAAAGGTAAACTTTGGCCTGCTCATTAAGTGAGCTATGATCGGGCGTGCTCGAGCCCAAACCTCCTGAGGTCCTACCGAGAAACGCCTAAGCTTGCCCAGGCCCGCTAAGGGGAAAACGTGCGCAGGCTAGCAGGGCACCATCTTTATAATTTTCTAGATTTTTTAGCTGAAAAGATAAATGGACAAGACAAACATATGGAAAATAAATTTATGTGGGGTATGCTTTTTCATATTTTTCTCAAGATACTCAATGATTTGAGAGGCAATTCCCCTGTATTCTCCATATGAACCAACCAACCCAACTCCTGTTTCTGGTGCTCCAAGAGATGGGTCATTATGATCTTTGCCGGAGACTCCAAGGCCTCCGACTTCGCCTTTACATTATGGCCGACCAGCGTGAAACTCTCGTCCACGCTCCTCACCTCCTTCCCCGCGGGCAGGATGAGCATCACGTTGCCTCTCAAGATTGCCGACTTAACATGCTCAAAGTCGTCGACTCTGGCAACTACGTGAATTTGACACTCGACGAAAACAAATTTTTGCATGCGAGGAACTCAAGGCACAATGGCCTCGACGGAGATGAGCTGAGAGTCGATAAGTGGGGCCAAGACTCGGGCAGCCGTGGCCTTGACGTAACCGACCCTCACGCCCCTAGTATTGAGGACTAGGATGGCATTCACGTCCTTTATATTTGAGGGCTCGCGCACAAGTGCAAATCTCTCGCGGGCGCTGATGTCGTTGTCTCCGCAGTGTTGGATGCTGACTATGTCAGCAAGGATCAAGCCGAGGAGGCTAGTCCCGAAGGGGGAAGTTACGGTATCGTCGAGGTTCCCCATCGTAGATGGAGACGGAGAAGGTCTGTAGGGTTCAGAGAGAATGTGGGTTGACGAGAGCTTCTGTACTTTGAAATCGGGGCTTCACAGAGAGAGAGAGAGGGGCGGAGAAGGTGACAGAATGTCTCTATCTTGAACTTGAACTCGAAATAACTTGAAATTAATTGGTTAACCGTTGCAGAGTTTGAACTTTGAAATTAATCGATTAACCGTTGCAGAGAATGAACGGCGGTGTCGTTTCTAACCATTGGGGGTTGTTATACCAAAGGAAAAATAGGTTAATACACATCTCTAGTTTTTTAAATATTATTCACATGGCTCTACGTAAAAGCCTATATCCAAAGGACCAAATTGTTCTTCCAAATTCGTTTGAATATTTTGCTTAGGGTTTGGGTCAAAGGGAAAATTCTAAATAAAGGTCTGAAATGCCCTCATTTTCTCATATAAGGGCCCGACCTTACTGGCCGAATGGCACTTTCGTCCTTTACTTTTTTTGAATTTTCTTTTCCTTTTCCTGTTTTTTTTCTTTTCCCTCCGCTGGCGTCGAGCCAGGGCCACCCTTGCCTGGGCCACCCTCGCCCTCGCCTAGGGTCGGTGGAACTCGCTGGCAATAGCGGGGGGAGGGAAGAGGGAAAAGAAAAGAAAAGAAAAAGAAAAGGAAAGTAAAAAATATATATATACTTACTTAAATTTTTTTTTGCTAAAATACCCCTTCTTCGAGGGCCAGAATAGTCATCGGCCGGCCAAAAGTCCTTATTTGAGAAGATTTGACCAGTTCAGGCCCTTATTTGAGAAAAATGAGGACACTTCATGCCCTTATTTGAAATTTTCCCTTTGATTAATGTGGTATTTAATTTAATTTAATTTTTTTGGGGTTGGAATGCGGTTTTTAATTGATTTTGAGTGTTTTGGGTGGACAAGAGAATTTAGAATTTGGGGGTTGGGCGTTTTTCGAAGACAGGAATTAAGACGCAAAGACAATCGATGTGAATATGTGAAGTGGTCTACTCCAAGGGTAAACTTTGGCCTACTCATTAAGTGGGCTATGATCGGGCATGCTCGAGCCCAAACCTCCTGAAGTCCTACCAAGAAACGCCTAAGCTTGCCCAGGCCCGCTAAAGGGAAAACGTGTACGGGCTAGCGGGGCACCATCTTTATAATTTTCTACATTTTTCAGCTGAAAAGATAAATGGACAAGATAAACAGATGGAAAATAAATTTATGTGGGATATGCTTTTTCATATTTTTCTCAAGATACTCAATGATTTGGGAGGCAATTCCCCGGTATTCTCCATATGAACCAACCAACCCAACTCCTGTTTCTGGTGCTCCAAGAGATGGGTCATTATGATCTCCGTCGGAGGCTCCAAGGCCTCCGGCTTCGCCTTCTTCCTAACATTACGGCCGACCAGCGTGAAACTCTTGTCCACACTTCTCACCTCCTTCCCCGCGGGCGGGATGAGCATCAAGTTGCCTCTCAAGATTGCCGACTTAACATGCTCAAAGTCAGCGACTCTGGCAACTACGTGAATTTGAGACTCGACGAAAATCAATTTTCGCACGCGAGGAACTCGGGGCACAATGGCCTCAACGAAGATGAGCTGAGAGTCGATAAGTGGGGCCAAGACTCGGGCAGCTGTGGCCTTGAGGTAACCAACCCTCACGCCCCTAGTATTGAGAACTAGGATGGCATTCGCATCCTTTATATTTGAGGGCTTGCGCACAAGTGCAAATCTCTCACGGGCGCTGATGTCGTTGTCTCCGCAGTGCTAGATGCTGACTATTTCGGCAAGGATGAAGCCGAGGAGGCTAGTCCCGGAGGGGGAAGCGACGGTATCGTCGAGGTCCCCCATGGTAGATGGAGACGGAGAAGGTCTGTAGGGTTCAGAGAGAATGTGGGTTGACGAGAGCTTCTGTACTTTGAAATCGGGGGTTCACAGAGAGAGAGGGGCGGAGAAGGTGACAGAGCGTCTCTATCTTGAACTTGAACTCAAAATAACTTGAAATTAATTGGTTAACCGTTGCAGAGTTTGAACTTTGAAATTAATCGGTTAACCGTTGCAGAGAATGAACGGCGGTGTCGTTTCTAACCGTTCGGGGTTGTTACACCAAAGGAAAAATAGGTTAATACACATCTCTAGTTTTTTAAATATTATTCACATGGCTCTACGTAAAAGCCGATATCCAAAGGATCAAATTGTCCTTCCAAATTCGTTTGAATATTTTGCTTAGGGTTTAGGTCAAAAGGAAAATTCTAAATAAAGGTATGAAGTGCCCTCATTTTCTCATATAACGGCTTGACCTTACTGGTCGGAGGGCACTTTCGTCCTTTACTTTTTTTGAATTTTCTTTTCCTTTTTATGTTTTTTTCTTTTCCCTCTGCCGGCGTTGAGCCAGGGCCGCCCTCGCCTGGGCTGCCCTCGCCCTCGCCTAGGGTCGGTGGAACTCGCCAGCGATGGCGGGGGAGGGAAGAGGGAAAAGAAAAGAAAAGAAAAAGAAAAGGAAAGTAAAAATATATGTATACTTACTTAAAAAAAATTTTGCTAAAATACCCCTTCTTTGAAGGCCGGAATAGTCATCGGCCGGCCAAAAGTCCTTATTTGAGAAGATTTGACCAGTTCAGGCCCTTATTTGAGAAAAATGAGGGCACTTCATGCCCTTATTTAAAATTTTCCATTTGGTTAACGTGGTATTTAATTTAATTTAATTTTTTTGGGAACGGAATGCGATTTTTTAATGATTTTGAGTGTTTTGGGTGGGCAAGAGAATTTAGAATTTGGAGAATGGGCGTTTTTCGAAGACAGGAATTGAGACGCAAAGACAATCGATGTGAATATGTAAAGTGGTCTACTCCAAGGGTAAACTTTTGCCTGCTCATCCTTACCAAAAAAACCTTTTGCCTGCTCATTAAGTGGGCTATGATCGAGCGTGCTCGAGCCCAAACCTCCTGTGGTCCTACTGAGGCACGCCTAAGCTTGCCCAGGCCCGCTAAGGGAAAAACGTGCGCGGGCTAGCGGGGCACCATCTTTATAATTTTCTAGATTTTTCAGCTAAAAAGATAAATGGACAAGATAAACAGATGGAAAATAAATTTATGTGGGATATGCTTTTTCATATTTTTCTCAAGATACTCAATGATTTTGGAGGCAATTCCCTTGTATTCTCCATATGAACCAACCAACCCAACTCCTGTTTCTGGTGCTCCAAGAGATGGGTCATTATGATCTCCGCCGGAGGCTCCAAGGGCTCCGGCTTCGCTTCTTCCTGACATTACGGTCGACCAGCGTGAAACTCTCATCCACGCTCCTCACCTCCTTCCCCGCAGGCGGGATGAGCATCAAGTTGCTTCTCAAGATTGCCGACTTAACGTGCTCAAAGTCGTTGACTCTGGCAACTACGTGAATTCGAGACTCGATGAAAAGCAATTTTCACACGCGAGGAACTCGGGGCACAATGGCCTCGACGGAGATGAGCTAAGAGTCGATAAGTTGGGCCAAGACTCGGGCAGCTATGGCCTTGATGTAACCGACCGTCACGCCCCTACTATTGAGGACTAGGATGGCATTCGCATCCTTTATATTTGAGGGCTCGCGCACAAGTGCAAATCTCTCGCGGGAGCTGATGTCGTCTCTGCAATGCCGGATGCTGACTATGTCGGCAAGGATGAAGCCGAGGAGTCTAGTCTCGAAGGGGGAAGTGACGGTATTGTCGAGGTTCCCCATCGTAGATGGAGACGGAGAAGGTCTGTAGGGTTCAGAGAGAATGTGGGTTGACGAGAGTTTCTCTACTTTGAAATCGGGCGTTCAGAGAGAGAGAGAGGCGGAGAAGGTGACAGAGCGTCTCTATCTTAAACTTGAACTCGAAATAACTTGAAATTGATCGGTTAACTGTTGCAAAGTTTGAACTTTGAAATTAATCGGTTAACCGTTGCAGAGAATGAATGGCGGTGTCGTTTCTAACCATTCGGGGTTGTTATACCAAAGGAAAAATAGGTTAATACACATCTCTAGTTTTTTAAATATTATTCACATGGCTCTACATGAAAGCCCATATCCAAAGGACCAAATTGTCCTTTCAAATTCATTTGAATATTTTGCTTAGGGTTTAGGTCAAAGGGAAAATTCTAAATAAGGGTTTGAAGTGCCCTCATTTTCTCATATAAGGGCCCGACCTTACTGGCCGGATGGCACTTTCATCCTTTACTTTTTTTGAATTTTCTTTTCCTTTTTCTATTTTTTTCTTTTCCCTCAGCCGGCGTCGAGCCAGGGCCGCCCTCGCCAGGGCCGCCCTCGCCCTCGCCTAGGGTCGGTGGAACTCGCCGGCGATGGCGGGGGGGGGAAGAGGGAAAAGAAAAGAAAAGAAAAAGAAAAGGAAAGTATATATATATATATATATATATATATATATATATATATACTTACTTAAAAAAAAATTTGCTACAATACCCCTTCTTCGAAGGCCGGAATAGTTATCGGCCGGCCAAAAGTCCTTATTTGAGAAGATTTGACCAGTTCATGCCCTTATTTGAGAAAAATGAGGGCACTTCATGCTCTTATTTGAAATTTTCCCCTTGGGTAACGTGGTATTTAATTTAATTTAATTTTTTTAGGGTCGAAATGCGGTTTTTAATTGATTTTGAGTGTTTTGGGTGGGCAAGAAAATTTAGAATTTGGGGGATAGGCGTTTTTCGAAGACAGGAATTGAGACGTAAAGACAATCGATGTGAATATGTAAAGTGGTCTACTCCAAGGGTAAACTTTGGCCTGCTCATTAAGTGGGCTATGATTAGGCGTGCTCGAGCCCAAACCTCCTGAGGTCCTACCGAGGCACGCCTAAGCTTGCCCCGGCCCTCTAAGGAAAAAATGTACGCGGGCTAGCGGGGCACCATCTTTATAATTTTCTAGATTTTTCAACTGAAAAGATAAATGGACAAGATAAACAGATGGAAAATAAATTTATGTGGGATATGCTTTTTCATATTTTTCTCAAGATACTCAATGATTTGGGAGACAATTCCCCTGTATTCTCCATATGAACCAACCAACCCAACTCCTATTTCTGGTGCTCCAAGAGATGGGTCATTATGATCTTCGCCAGAGGCTTCAAGGGCTCCGGCTTCGCTTCTTCCTGACATTACGGCCGACCAGCGTGAAACTCTCATCCACGCTCCTCACCTCCTTCCCCACGGGCGGGATGAGCATCAAGTTGCCTCTCAAGATTGCCAACTTAACGTGCTCAAAGTCGTCGACTCTGGCATCTACGTGAATTCGAGACTCCACGAAAACCAATTTTCGCATGCGAGGAACTCAGGGCACAATGGTCTCGACGGAGATGAGCTGAGAGTCGATAAGTGGGGCCAAGACTAGGGCAGCTGAGGCCTTGATGTAACCAACCCTCACACCCCTAGTATTGAGGACTAGGATGGCATTCGCGTCCTTTATATTTGAGGGCTCACGCACAAATGCAAATCTCTTGCAGGAGCTGATGTCATCTCTGCAGTTCTGGATGCTGACTATGTCGGCAAGGATGAAACCGAGGAGGCTAGTCCCAAAGGCGAAGTGACGGTATAGATGAGGTTCCCCATTGTAGATGGAGACGGAGAAGGTCTATAGGGTTCATAGAAAATGTGGGTTGACGAGAGCTTGTGTACTTTGAAATCAGGGGTTCACACAAAGAGAGAGAGAGGGGCGGAGAAGGTGACAGAGCGTCTCTATCTTGAACTTGAACTCGAAATAACTTGAAATTAATCGGTTTACCGTTGCAGAGTTTGAACTTTGAAATTAATCGATTAACCGTTGCAGAGAATGAACGGCGGTGTCGTTTCTAACCGTTCGGGGTTGTTACACCAAAGGAAAAATAGGTTAATACACATCTCTAGTTTTTTAAATATTATTCACATGGCTCTACGTAAAAGCCCATATCCAAAGGACCAAATTGTTCTTCCAAATTCGTTTGAATATTTTGCTTAGGGTTTGAGTCAAAAGGAAAATTCTAAATAAAGGTCTGAAGTGCCTTCGTTTTGTCATATAAGGGCCCGACCTTACTGGCCGAAGGGCACTTTCGTCCTTTACTTTTTTTGAATTTTCTTTTCCTTTTTATGTTTTTTTCTTTTCCCTCCGCTGGCATCAAGCCAGGGCCGCCCTTGCCTAGGCGACCCTCGCCCTCACCTATGGTCGGTGGAACTTGCCGGCGATGGCGGGGGAGGGAAGAGGGAAAAGAAAAGAAAAGAAAAGAAATAGAAAAGGACAGTAAAAAATATATATATACTTACTTAAAAAAAAAATTTGCTAAAATACCCCTTCTTCAAAGGCCGGATTAGTCATCGGCCGGCCAAAAGTCCTTATTTGAGACGATTTGACCAGTTCAGGCGCTTATTTGAGAAAAATGAGGGCACTTCATGCCCTTATTTAAAATTTTCCCTTTGGGTAATGTAGTATTTAATTTAATTTAATTTAAGGTGGAAATTTTGATGAGCGGTTGGAGTTGCCATGCATTCCTTGCCTGTGTTTCTTTTCCAGTCGTGTGGTCTTTCCGAAAAATTTGGAGACCGTGCCCGTTCTTTTCAATTTAGTAATAAGTTCTTTCCCTGTATTTACACAGGCTGCCAGGGAAACTCGAGCTCTTCAAGCTGCCAAAAATAAGTTAGAAAAGCAAGTGGAAGAACTTACGGGGAACTTACAACTGAAGAAACGCATAAGAGTAAGTCCCATGGCATTCTGTGCTTAAAATCTCTGTCAGCTATTGTTGCGGGATTGGATCTCTTATTCTAGGAAAAGAGATATTGTCAATATTGTATTTTTTATCTTACTACCTATTTAGGAGTGTTTTCCTATTTCAGGTTGCTTGTTACCTT